ATATTGTGAATGCTTTTATTGTTAGTATAGACGACTCTTATGATATATGTGTTGCTATATTGAGAATAGGAAAATTTGAAGACAATGATTGATGGAGATTGCAAACCACAACCCTAGCCACCATAGAGAAGAGACGGAGAAATATGAAGAAGGTAAGGCTTCTTAGCCACCTGTATACAGATGTATAGATTGCGAGATTTAGCTGATCATCTTATTTAAAGAAATAAAATCAAGTAATTTAAGCATATGACTTAAATATTCAACCAAAAAAATGAAAGGTTAAAATACTAATTTGGTCCCTCAACTTTCATATGTGTATCAAAATTTTCTCTTAACTTTATCAAGTACCAAAATTGTTCCTAAACTTTAATTTTTAGTATCAAAATAGTCCTCAAACTTTAGAGATAATACTAACTTAGTCCTTGAACTTTGAAGAAAGTACCATCTTAGTTCTTGAACTTTAATTACAAATACTAGTTTGGTTTTTCAACTTTGATTAGATATCAATTTGATATGTAAATGAAAATATACTACGATGGTAAAATATGATTGTTTAATTTTATATGTTACTAGTATTTTAAAAAAAATGATTTTGTGGCAAAATAACGAGTTATATAGTATTTCTATTAATTGAAGAACTTTTTTTATATTAAAAATTAAAGTTTAGGGATAATTTTAATATTTTTTAAAATTAAGAGACGATTTCAGTACAAATCTGAAAGTTTTACATCCTTACAATCTTTTGCTTCCTAAGAAATGGCATCAACATTAGATTGTGTTTGGATAGAAAGTAAAGGAGATGGTAAGTTCTTCCTTTCAAGGGTTATCTTCTAACACTAGGTTTTATAATGTAGCCATCAAATTGAAAAGTACTCTATTTTTACTCCTCTTCTTCTTTTTTTTTTTTTTCCATCATAAAATTAGGAGCATGCTTAATGACTTGATTAGCATATTACCCTCTCATAATCTGTTTTTTTTTTTTTTTTTGAACGGTCTATAATTTGAGAGAAAGGAATTTTTCCAAGGTATTGATGGATTCGAAACCTCAACCAACAAATCCAAACACTTTAAAGTTTAAGAGCGAACCACTGGGTCCTCAAATTCGGTTCCTCTTATAATCTATTTGTTCCTCACCCTAAATGTACTCATTCAGATGGTGGATCTAACTGTCTATTCATGTTGATATAGTAAATGTTAATGGCAGTAACACAGCAAACAGGGACAAACAAATTATCCCACAACGTGCCTAATAAGTACTACACACAGGAGCCCTTAATGGTATTGTAGTGTAGCTTTAAGTATGGTCCCCTTCGAAGCACCAGGTACTAATGCTTTATGCCAGAGTAGCTTGCAAATGAGTTTACCAAAAATCAGGTACTTGATGGAGTTCTGCTGTCTACCAAGATAATGGAAAACAGAGTTGAAAGGAATTAATGAGTGGTATAGGAAAAACGACAAAAGCGGAAAAACTATGGCAAAACATTGGACATTTTTTTAGTAAGATGATTCAGAACATACACTGTTTTGAGCTACCCTAGTATTAAGACTTAAGAGAAAAGTTTCTCTCACCAACAATGACAGACCACGGAAGTGGTTGTGAGGTTTTTAGGTGTGGATGCAACCTTGTGTATTGTGTCCAAGGACTATTTGTTATATCAATACTATAATTTTGTATTAGTTGGGACTGAAAAACAATGACATGTTACAAAGACTGCCATTTCCATAGGACGATTAGAAAAATTATGATAAATGATCAGATGGTATTAATCAATTTGTTTCTTGAATGTTTTTTTTTTTTTTAACATATTTTGCACGGACAAGTTTTGAACCCTACCAAAAAAGAGGGAATGCACCGTGGTTATGCTACTAGGGCTCAAGGCCAGTACGTTACTTGAATGTTTTACTTGTATTTTTTACATAAAGAAGAATGAAAAGAATACAGATGGTTGGGTAATTTGCTGATGAGACAGTGACACATAACATAACAGGAATTTAATATACACGTGGAAGTCACATGCCAAGGAGTGAGGAATAAAATGCTGTTGACGTGTCGCATGGTGCTAGAGTGAAGTACAATAGCAGACGATCCTCCCACTGTAGAGGTCGCTAGCAAAGGACAGAGACTACTCAGTGCAAGCCATTGGCTGCTAGTACCCAGTACGTTCCTCTCTTTCCTTTACTGACTGATGCAAATAACGAAACGAATGGGGGAGAGAGAGGCTCTGTCTGAGGTGGGGGTCCCTTTGGTTGTGTTTTTTTGGTCCCATTTAATAACTTTGATGATGGCCTAATGCTATGCAGCTGCTGCTTCATAATTCTTAGGGTGTCTAGAACCGAATCAAATTGATTAGGTGGAACCAATCTAAATCAATTCAATTTAAAATCAATTGAAACCATCTTGTGATTGGATAAATTGGATAATTAAGTAACAGAACTGATTTAATTAAAGTTGTTAGATTTTGTTTACCAATTGAATACAAGAGAAGCCATTCTAATTACCTTCCTCACATTCTCTTCACTCTAGATTATCATTCTTAGAAGCCTAGCCTTTTGAATGGCTAGACCACTTTCCTTTTCTCACCAGTGCATTTCTTTCTTGCTGCATTTTCTTTTCAATTGTCTGTCATATATACAAGACCAAAGCTCAACTTGGCATCCTTAAAAATTCTAGCTAATTTTTGGGTTTTTGTTGCTTCATATTACTTTTTAATTTCTTCAGCTATCTCGAATGGAGTGTTTCTGCTTTTATTGATTTGTGATGCATTTGGGTTGGTCATTTATTTTCTTTAATGGATTTTGGTTTCATTATCAGGTCATTGAATTGGACTGATTTTAATTGCAAGAGATTTTTTGTTTTTGTTTCTAACTTGGGATTGATTTTGAATGGATAATCAGTGTGCAGTTTGGCTTTCAGTCTTCAAGTTGCAATTTCTCTTTGTTTTATAGAACCGAACTAACTAACCGAACCAATTATGTTTGAATCGGTTTGGTTAATTATTGGCCAAACCATTGGATTAATCGATTGGAATGTTGCCACAACCTACACTCCAAAACCGAACTGACCAGACCGACTGAAGGAACACCCCTAATAATTCCATATATTGTTGCATGAAAATTAAGATTTTTTGCCACTGAATACCCTTCCTTCTCTTTAAAATCTGCCATATATTAGTTCCAATTGGCACTAATATAAAAATTCCTTAGGAGGATTACTAGTGATCATATTAGTCAAAATCGAAGAGGGTACCGTAGGAGCTGGAATTCTTTAGGGTTCATGTAAGGGCTCCTCAAATTATTTTGTTCTAGGAAGTTTGTTGTGAATGATTTTATGCTAGAAAAGAAAATTATGGTTGCCGGTGCAAGCTGGACTCTGCATCAAGCAATCAAATATATATATCTGACTTTTACCTACCACTGCATTATAGTCCATAAACCTGGCCCATTACTTGCACAATCAAGAAAAGTGGGGCTATTAGGGTTAGGAGGGCACCGGGCCAACTCAAGAGATGGCCCACCAACTTAGCAGCCTAGATGGATAAGCATCTTCAGGTACGTACCATAAAGTCCTATAATAGATACCATGTCTATCACAAGTGTCATAAACCTCATCAAAATCAGCTTTTTTTGGCCTCCACATCATCATCAGCCTTAGTCCTTAGACATTGGTGGACCACCTCCATTAGGGATGATTTTTTTTTTCTGGGGGAAGAGAAAGAAAAAACCAATCAGAACCATGCTCCCAGAAAAAATAAAAATGTGTATGAACATGCAAAATCCAATACCCAATTCCAATATATTCTTCCACATCTTTCTTTTTTTTTCTTTTTGAGATGTTGCCATGCTCCCATGTGCCTTCACTTCTGTAAAGAGATGAAAGGGAGAAAAATAAAATCCAAAGGGGCAGCGTCAGTGTTTGGCATTGAAATGACAGTGTTGGGGACATCTTGAGAGTGAAAATTGATGAGTGCTTCAAGACATACTATGGTTGGTAGTTAGGGAGAAGATGCAATATGGTGATAGTTCTGTTAACCCTTTTAAGGTCTCTCAAGCTGGGATTCGTGTCATCCAGTAAGCGTACGCGTGTGCGCGTGCACGTGAGTGCGCCTCTATGTGAGGGAGAGATAAGAGAGTAAAGTTTGTTATCATTCAGAGCAAAAGGAAGATGAGAGTGGGGAGGGGATGCACTTTCTATGTGATTGATCAAAATGTCACTTTCTCTAGTGCCCCCACATATCTCAGTAATGTTGTCTTCAACCAAGAAACTTAGATGCCTATTTCATCTCTCTTGTTGTAAGTCCCTTTCAGTATTCTGTTAGCTAAAGAAGCTAGCATCATCAAACCCACCCAAGTTGTGCAATCATATAGTTATCCCACTTGACTTGCTCTAAACTGAAAAATACTTGGCTTTCTGCTGATAATTGGCTGCTTAATTTGATATCAGGGTAGATTTTATGTCACATTTAGTTTGATTCAGTGACACAGAAAAGAAATGTATGTTTTGATTAGAACATACCAATAACAGTTATGGAGCTTGACTAGAGGTCCTGAAAAGTCCACGTTCCAATCTCTCACCTCTAAATATCCATTTTTTTTAAAGAAAATAATAAGATTTAAACCTCAAAGTGGTTTAAAATACAAAATAGTTACTTTCTTAATAATTTGGTCTAGCTTACTTTACTTGTGATGTTGATGGATGATGATAGGGAAGCGGAGGGATGCCCAAATCTTTCCAAGCCTTAGAGGGTAGATCTTTGTGTTGAACATCTGTATCCACAATAAGGGTATGTGGACCCTCATCTGGATCGTCCATTAGATGGACTGCCTAGTGGCTGATCCCAAAAGTTGATCAATCACTTTCTGTTTGACCAACACAAAGATTGAAGATGGGCAGTTAATTTCTCTGATCTTTGAAGTAGGAACCATTGATCAACCGTTCATAACTTACCCACTGATGGTTGATCAGCCTATGGGATGGCCTAGATTGAGAACCCAGCAACCCGTTTTGATGGTAGGTTTTGGGTATATGCCCATTGTTGAGGTACAAAGTATCAAATGGCCTTTTCCTACATTGATGATATGGAAAAGTTGGCTGTGTGAAGAAGTCAAGGATTACTGGAGTTTTTGAAGAAAAGACTAGTTTTACAGCAATGAAAAGGCTATAGAAAGCAAGAAAAGTGAGCAAAAAGTGTTGTGTTTCTTTCAGGCTCTTTTTTTTTTCTTTCTCCCCCTTTTCTTTTGTTTTTTTTGGTGGGTACACACTTTTCCATCCCTAGATTAATTGTGACCACAATTCTTCACGTGATACCCTTGCAGTTTTTCTGTGTGTAGCAAAAGTTAGAACTCTCGTTGTTTTTGATACATTTGACCAGTTGCAGTCCCCTATTCAGAAATCCAAGTTTTCTTTTTTACCCCTCCATTTTGTGGGAAACCTCTTTAGATATTCACATTTTTTTCACCTTCAAATTTCATATTCGATTCCAACTTTATGTTAGTTTCTAATTTTCACATATTTTTTTATGTAGGGCATCCTAATAATTTAAAACGTGTAATTGGACAATCTGAGCTGTACCTTCAAAATCTTCATCATTTATTTTATTGTTCCCTTACCGGACTCTTTGAAAATATTATAGTGTGAGCTAGCTAGATTCATGAAAAATCATGGTTTCCAGCTCCTTTATTTGCATTTCCACTTTATGTGTTAGGCTGTGTACCTTCCACAAATATGAGTTGTTAGACTTTTAGAAGAAGAGTAGAAAACAACATTAGGATTTATGAGACCAATATGCACTTCTGTTGGCCAAATATCGAACCCACTTAGCTGGATGCATATATAGTGTGAGAAAAACTGAAAAACAATTAGACCTGGCATCACATTAGTGATTAGATGATGCAATATCAATATTTAGGGAAGAAAAATGCAACCCTTGTGGAAGCAGGTGTTCCTTACTTGCTTGCTTGCATCATATGTACCTGTGTGCATATATATATATACATGACTGCATGGCATGCATGGATATTAGCATATCAATCATGGGTGTTCACATGTAACTGAGAAGGGTAGGGTTTATTGTTTTTTGGAGGTCCAAATACCCATGTTTGGAAAATGTTGATTGTGTATGTCATTCTATATAGAATAAGATTATGTTAGTAAGAGAAAAGGTAGGGGAAAAAAAATCAGACAGAAATGACCTAAGAAAGGTAGAAAACAAAGTGTTTTGTTTCAATGACAAGGTATTTTCATCACTTCAAGAAACACTGAAATTTAGATCTTTGGACATCACCGGTACCCGATAACCAACCCTTCTAACAAAAATATCACAAGAAATTGAGTTAAATATTTTGTCTGTTTCTTTAAAGCTGGAAAATGGGAATCGAGTGCTGTCAATAATCTATTATAATATAATAGCAGACATTCCAAAACACTATCAAATTAGACGCTTTCCCCCCTCTTTCCAGTTTTTTCCTAAACCAACCCATTTTTATAAACAAAAAAGTAGATATTGTGGGAAGGAGAGGAACATTGTCCATTTGGCCTGCTTTGGAGTATATATTATTGGATTTTGTTTCAATATTGTTGATAATCAATCCCCATCTCACAAACATGTATATATCTTCACTGCGCACACATTCTTCCTTTTTCTTCTTTGTGCTTTGGTTCTTTGTTGGATTGGAAAGTTTTTTTAATATCAAATGGGACATTGGGAAGGATGGGGAGAGCAGAGATTCCACTTCCTTAATGGAAGAAAGGGATGGGGCATCTCAATACCTGTACGTTGACCAGGACTCTTGTGCCACTCTTTTCTCCCATGCCAAAACTTCCTCTTATTATTCTATTAATTTCACTTGAAATTTTCAGAAGAAAGAATAGGAAGAACCATAATATGATATGGCCACTAGAAATTAGAAACCATCATCACCAACACTAAAATCCAAACCTCATTCACTTGGACCCCTCACCATATCACTTTTGCTGACCTCACCTCATTCAGACTCTGTCCCCCAACTCCACTATTTTACCTTTGCCAAGGGAACGTACGTTTATGCACTACAATTTTTAAACAGCAATGACAGAACCTATTTATAACCCCTTTTCTAACACTTATACTAGCAGGGAAAAGGAGCCAAATGGGTAGGCTAATTTAGAGGATATATTATTAGCAACGCCTGTTACCATCAAGAAATGAAGGTGGGAATGGCTGTTTTTTTTCCATTTTTCCTATTGGGGACAAATGTTTAATGATGATTGATTATATGGTAATTTATATGTTAATTACATGGCTAATGAGACAGAATCTCTGATAAGCGGATGGTCAAAGACAAGAGTGTAATGGTCTGGCAAACTTTCTTGGTGTCAGGGAGGTGAAATAAAATCACTGCTAGCTCCTTTTTAGTTATGCAACTGCTGACCGGAGGAAGAGAGAGAAAGAGATACCATACTAATCAAAATGATCTTGTCTAGGTGAGGATGAAATCTACTGGGAAATAGTACACTGGGTTTTATGAATCTCTTTGCATCAATGTTTGTGTATGTCAAGTGTCTAAAACTACTTGGAAAGTTGATAGAGCGTGCAAATTCAACATTTCACAGCATGATTATATTTGCTTTCTCCCTAGCACCGAAGTTACATTTAAGCCTTTTTCACCTGATCTGAATTGCCTGTGTCATTGTGACCCCTCTTTAAGTGGTAGCAGGTCCATGAATCCAAACTGCACCAAAATGTCTCCATCTATAGGTAGTCAAACATGAATCTGTCAAGAAATCAATGGGATCATGTGATTTCAATACCAGGGTCCCTCTTTTTTATCTCAACTCCCAACATTTATGCATGTATCTACTTTCATGTTACAATGACTTTCATGTTACAAGGATCTGGGTTGATAATGGTAGATTTTAAAATTTGTAGAAGTGCAGTTATTCATCAATCCATGTGCATATACCGTTCACTCTGTACTAGGTGTTAATTAAGAATGGCAGCACAGTTTGACATCCCTCTTCACAAACATGGCAGGCACATCATGAAAACAACTCTTGGCTCTATTTGTGATAATATTTGGTTGTTGGTGTGTTACAGGTGAAGACTTGGAACGCAAGGCGCCTATGCCACACATAATTGATGTAGAGAGAAAGAGGAGAGCAGTAACCAACACGTATAATTAAACATGCTCTGCTAGAAATCAATGGCGCTGCAGCTTGATGGTAAAAGTGAATAAATGAAGCTGGTGGTGAGCAAGTATTTTTCCTGGGACTGAAATGAGTGGTAATACCTTGATATGTCAGAAATGGCAACAAATGAAAACAGGCATTGGGGTTGAAGAGAAAGATACGGATCCTCAGAGAAATGGAGCATCATGATGTATTGTAAGAATAATAGGGTTCGGTCTGCTGCTGGTAGAGGTAAGAGAAGAAAACTACTGGAGAGTTGTTTTGAATGGAGGATTGACAAAGGGACCCTTGGGAACCGAGAAGGAAAAAGGGTGGGCCCTCATAAAATCGCTTTGGTAAAATATCTAGCGTTATTAAATACACCAATGCGGCCCCAGAGAGAAGTATTTCCCTGTTGTGTTATATAAAGGAGTCTAAGTTGTTGGGTGATACTTTCTTTAAAGGAAGATAAGAGGAGTGGAAAACAGAAGGAAAGAGAGAGAAAGAGTGTGTGCGAGGACTGAGAAGTGATGGAAGATCATCTTAACCCATTAGCTGTTACTCATCTCCTTCAACACACCCTGAGGAGCTTGTGCGTTCACGAGAACTCTCAGTGGGTTTATGCAGTCTTTTGGAGGATCTTGCCTAGGAATTACCCACCTCCCAAGTAAGGAAAGATAAATCAAATTTCAAAGCATAGTTTCCTTTTTCTTTCCAGACTCCGGAGAAGGATCTAATGTGTCTAGTTCATTCCATGGATGGAGTGCAAACCATGATCTATTACTATTATTTTTTTGTTTAGCATGTCTTTTCTGATATCATCTTTTTGTATGATAGATGGGATGGTCAAGGAGCTTATGACAGGTCAAGAGGAAACAGGAGGAACTGGTATGTATATAAATTCCTCCTTTCATAGTATGTTGGAATATGGCCATGCTCTTTGTGCATCCTTATAGAAAAACTCCTCATCCTGTGTCATCTCAGGATATTGGTCTGGGAAGATGGTTTCTGTAACTTTGCTGTCTCTGCAGCTGAGATCAACCCATCAGGAGACTGTCCTGGTTCCTCCGTCCATGGGAACTGTGAATTTCCACAGTATCAAGGACTGCAACCAGAGCTTTTCTTCAAGATGTCCCATGAAATCTACAACTATGGAGAAGGGTTAGAAAATGATGTTTTGTTTTCACTGATTTGTGTGTGTCATGTTGCTTAGAAGGATGGTTCAATTAGTTATAAATTTCAACCGTAAACAAGCTGATTTGAGTTACCATATGTAAGTTTGATAGGAAAAGTGGCAGCAGATCACAGTCATAAGTGGATATACAAAGAACCAAATGACCAGGAAATCAACCTCTTGTCAGCATGGCATAACTCTGCAGACTCGGTAAGCATAAGTTTTATATTTCATGTTCCACTTGTTAGCAGAAAAACATGTTTGTTTCTTACCAATCTTCTGCTATACAGCATCCTAGGACATGGGAAGCTCAGTTTCAGTCTGGTATAAAGGTATATATAGACATCACAAAAATCTGTTAATATTATGTTAGATCTACTTCTTTGTCTTGACTGAAATATCTTTGCAGACCATAGCCTTGATTGCTGTTAGAGAAGGTGTTGTTCAATTAGGAGCTGTTCACAAGGTTCTCTCTCTTCCTTTCTCACATATACAAACAGAATCACATCACAAAATTTTGTTACCATGTTTCACTAACGCTATAAATTTATTTCCTTTGTAAATAAATGGCACAACCCAGCTAATTGAAGATCTGAGTTCTGTTGTTCTATTGAGGAAGAAATTCAGCTACATAGAAAACATTCCTGGGGTGCTCTTGCCCCACCCATCATCTTCTGCGTACCCTTTCAAAGCAGATGGGTACAGTGGCACACCGGAGGCATGTTACTACCCAGGAACCTGCATTCTGCCGCCACCTGAATTCTACGACCAGTTCAATCAGCCAATGAAGATCACCCCCTCCATGAGCAGCCTTGAAGCCCTTCTTTCCAAACTCCCATCAGTTGTACCCCCACAAGCTTCAGGGTACTGCGAGTCACAACCACAGTTCCAGATTGCATCATCATCCCAAAGGCCTCTAGAATATTCTGAAATAGAGAAGGTGGCCAAAGAGGAGATGGATGAAGAGTATAGGCCTGAACAAGAAGTGGGTGAGAGTAGCAGTTCCATTGCTGCTTATCATCGTCAACAGCAGCATTTTCATCACCACCAAGGCAAAACCAGCAACAGACCCAATAATGGGTTTTTTGAGTAGTAAAGTTAAATCATACTATTGATTTGATCGTTTGGGGATCAGTGATTGATTGTCTCTAACGTTTGCATTAGCTACCACTATTAGTTTGAGTTTGATGTGCTTTTCTACTTTGCAGTTGTACTTATGCCAAAGTAATTAGCTTTCTTTGCTGTGGCGGCTGTCTGTGCCTAGATTCTTAAGTATATATCTTAATGAAATGAATTTTCCTTTTTCAATTTTTATATGCATGATTTGCATTTACCAAGGAAAAAACGCATGCTTCGCTCATGCTAAAACTATCCTATAATTTTTTTAACAGTCAAAAACTAATTTTTATTTTTAGAATACAAGGGGTATTCTTGTCTTTTTACATTTACTCCCTCATGTTATATATATATATATATATATATTTTTTGACAAGAGGAAATTATTAAATTAAATGTTAGTATCTGTTGTTATGTAAAAAGGTCGAATTTTGAAGTTAGATGCATTCCACCTACTATTCAATGGGCAACATAACCACCATTGGACTGCACGAGGAATTGCAGTCCCTCATATAATGTTATTTTATACTATATGTTTGATTTATGGTAATTTGAAAGTTTTGTACAATCTGACTTGTCTTGTACAAAATTAACTCTTTCTCATTTAAGATATGGTCATATATTATCTAAATTGTAAAAAGTAAATCAAATAAAATCAAGCTTTCAGATATAATGAGTTGTTTCAAATCTTAAATACTTGAGTTTAATTGATTGGGAGTTTAACTCCCATCAATGACATGAAAAAAATCCCTATCCCCCATAATTCCTCATGTTCAAAAAAAAAATATATATATATATATTCTTTTTATCATTTTTAATAAATTTAATTTAACTTCTTAATTTTTTATATAAAAATTAACATATTATATAAATAATAATAAAAAACTTCTTTTAATCAAATAAAAGTATTTAACCAAAAAAATTCATATGAGAGGAAAAATAAAAACTTATCAGTTATTCATATAAATCATTAAATTTTTATGTAAATTTACATCTTAAAACTTACGAAATTAAATTAAATTTATTAAAAGTGAAGGGGGAGGATCATATAGGATAATTATTTGTGACAACATGTTTGGATTGGCTATCGGAACTGAAAAGCTTGATTTCCACGATTTATTCACTTGGGAGCTAAATTAACGAAGTTGCTAATCATTACGACATACTTTTCTGATTCTGAAAATCACATAATCGCACTTGCCATCACAATCAACTTGGAGAAGTGCACATTTCCTCAGCCAATAGCTGGTTTCGACCCCCTCCACAATTGTAACGATTCAAAAAAAATAAAAATAAAAAAAGGGAAAATCACCTAATCTACTAATCTAGATCCTAACGTAATCAGAATTTGACTGAAAAAAGCAAAACTCTTATATATATATATATATATATGAGAAAAAGATTATTCTCATTATTTATTCAATAGGAGCCAGCCACTATGAAGAACGTAGGGTACATTCATCATTTTATAAAATATAACAAGCCATTTATCACTAAAAAGAAGAAAAAATTAAAAAAAAAAATCTAAAATCGAGATTTCTCTATTTCCCAGATTTAGTAATTTGCTATTGCCAGATACAGAACTTGAATCCATAAATAGATAAGTTCAAGTACTTGGTTAAGAAGAATTGAAGACACCCCAAGAGGGCAGGTTCCATGTGCTGCAATTCATAAGGTTCATGATGGTTCAATTTAAGAATGGGGAAAACTTGTACATTCAATTCATGTATTGGATATTTGTTTCATGACATTTTAGGGTTTCATATAACATTCAGAATTCAACTGGAATGAAAAGATTCAGTGCTGAACATACAAAAATAATATTTCACAAAGTCCTGTCAATTAATTTTCTTTATGAAGTGCCCCAATCCAAATTTCTTGGAATAACTGAAATTTGTCATCCTAATGAAATGCTGCAGTTTCATCCTTGAAGTGTTGAAGCAGCTTTTCAATGCTCATGGCAGAATGCTCCCCCTGATTATCTCTCGGCCGCACATTCACCTGAAAACGTTGAGGAGCATTGAGATAATAATCAAAGAAAAATACCAATTTTATAATGACCAAATCTAGGTAGTATGAAAGTATTGTGAACAATTGAAGGTCTAATATTGAAAAATCCAAGCTGATGATATAAGAAGTTAATCTGCAATATGAACGGGTAAGAACCTCTCCAGTCTTGGATTCCTCTTCACCAACGACCAATATATAGTTATACTGTGCCACCTGAGCTTCTCGTATCTGTGGGAAGTGGCAATGAAAATCATCATCAATAGAAACAATGTTTTCAGAGTAGCAGCAGCCTTTACAGGTGAATTGCTGAATCCAAATCAGTAACAGACATAAGTCGTACCTTTTTTTGGATTGTTCTATCTGATGAATCAATATCGACATGGTAACCAG